GGGTGGTTGTAACTCCAGGGTCCATTGAATGTCCTTTGGGAGGAGTGTGTGGGAGGCTCTGGAAGGCTCTGGAAGGCTCTGGAGGGCTGGGTCTGACTGGACTCCTCACCTTCCCGAGCTCTGTGAGGTTTCTCCAGTGGGAGGGCTGGATTCTCAGTGGTGGCCCAGGGTTCCCACAATGACAGTTCCAGGAGACAAAGTGGAAGCTGGTCCTCTTTTATCCAGACACTGGCCCAGCCTCACTCCTGCTGTCCTTCACCGGTTCAGAGGAATCCAGCTGGATCCAGGCAAGGAGGAGCATAGATCCTGCCTCTCAGTGAAAGAGAAGGCAAAGGTTGTGTGGCGTTCTGACAGGCCACTCCTTGTACAGAGTCAAAGACCAGCCCTCAATTAGCATCCTCCCCTATCCCTCAGGATATACCCAGCCACTCCCCATCCCCAACACAGAGGAGGCTGGAGTATAAGAGAGGACCCCGACCCTGCACACAGCATCCTCCTTCTGCACACTGGTACCTGCTGTCCACAGGGCAGAGGCCAATACACAGAAAGCCACAGAACCAGAATGTGCCCTGTGTGTCCACCTGCCTCTCTGGGCCCTGGATCGTGCTGTGCTGTGTGCAGGAACTCAGTTCTAAGTTACATGCTGGATGGAAGCTTTGGGTAGATCATTTCTGACAGTTCGCCTCTGGGCTTCTAAGGAGTCTCCAGACTTCTCTTAGCAGGTGGGATAGCTGGGAGCTGGAGCAAGGAAGGCACCTGACACAGGTTTCTGGATTCCCTGGGCAGGGCCCTGTCCTAGCACCCCAGCCCCTCTGTTCTGTGAGGCTTTGGGGGCCAGCTGTGGGGCACCCTGTCTTGGCCCCAGGACCTCACTCTGGCATTGTGGTGATGAGACCCCCCCTCCCTGCCACAGAAGTGGAACTAGAAGCTGGCCCGGAACCCTGACGATTTCAACATCACCTCCCTCTGGGTCCCTTCTGAGTTGATCTGTATCCCCAGCATTGTCCTCAACAAGTAGGAAGCAGAAGAGGTCTTGGAGGGACACAGGGAACCCTGGTTGGGGTGAGTAAGAGGACTTGGGAGGGGCACCCTGCCTCCCCTCACCTCCTTAGCTTATTCCTTTACTTCTTTCACTCCCATACACCAGTGTTTAATGACCACCTCTTGTATATCAGTGCCTGGCACTGTGCTATCGGGTCAGACTTGCTGAGTGTGAGGAGTCTTTGGAAAAGTGTTCAGCCCAAGGGTGGGCACTCGGAAGGATGGCAGTGTTGTAAGGGGACAAACTCAGCTGGTAAGATTACGGTTTCGTTATGTTATTTTTGGGTGCCTCATGCGCATAAACAAGAAGGACCAATCTGACGATGACATCAAGAAGCCCATCAGCAGCAGTGAGGCATCTAAGGAGAATCCCAGTGGGCAAAAATGAGTGAAGTAAGTTAATTTTGGATAGAATAAATGGAAATCTACACTTTCATTTGTGCTATCAGGTAATTTTTTTCCACTGAGAAGTCAAGTTTAAAATGTTCTTTTAAAGCAGGGCTCTAAGGAAACCACTGTTTCCTTGAGAATATATGAAGTACTTGAGCCACACAATTTTGGATAACGATGGCATCCATTGAGCCCCCTCCACCCCAGGCCATGGGGTGACATCCAAGCACAGCAGAGTCGTCACCCAGCCCAAAGCCATTGGTCCCAACTTAGGAAATGCGGTTCTTGATTGATAAAACAAAGGTGGAGAGGCCCACTTCTGGCGTGTGTGTCTCCAGACAGGTCAGAAGGAAGCAAGAAGTGATCCTAACACAGTCCAGCTCTGGGCAGGCCTGGTACCCCCCACCCAAGCTGCATAAGGAAACAGCCCTCATCACAGGGTCATCTTGCATGACCAACAGGGCAGGTGCCTGGTGTCCACTGCTGCTGCAGGACTCAAGCCCAACCCATCTCTGTGCCAAGGAGCTGATGCCAGGATCCTGTGCATCTCTGACAGAGGTCACGAGCAAAGTCCTGGCTTCAGATATGCATTTCAGGACTGCCAGTAAGGCCTTGGCCAGGGCAGCTCGATTATCATAAGAAATTCTTCTGAAGGATAGGGCAGAGTTTAGTCCAAACACTTGCCGACATTTAATTAAGGAGAGGCCCCTCCAAGTTAAGTCAGTGAAGCATGCTTGGTTCCTCCTCTGGAATGGGAGCTTGTCACCACCTAGTGAATGTGAAATGACCAACATGCCTTTACATTTATTTAGTTATTTACTTACTTACTTTTTGGTACCAGGGATTGAACCCAGGGCCTTCACACTGAGGGATATGCCCATCCTCTTTATTTTGAGACAGGCTCCCACAGTGTCCCTGAATTTCCCTGGCTGGGCTAA